GGAGGCAGTGTGTTCCGTCTTCCTGCGGGGGGCTCCACCATAAAAAAACTATACACATAGGGTTTGGATTGAATCTTGCTTTGCGTAGAAACTTGTAAACCCACGTGGAACCTCGCTTCGCGTGGAAAGTGTATATGTAAAGGCAGCGTGTTCCACCCCCTGCGGGGGCTTTTACAAGTTTTTTTGATAGTAATGACTAAAATATTGGAGTTAGGTAAAATATGTATTGGACCTTATTTGTAGAGCTTATTATGTGCTTCATTTTTTGTTTAACAACTTTTTCCGTACAATAAATACTTTCTTAAATAATTAACAATAACAGTTTTACCTTTGAGGGGGGCGGGGGGCGGAGGGGACAAAATTTTTGCGCCAAAAATCCATTTAGGAATATTATTTACTAGATAAAATAAATATTTAGGCTGAATATTAGCCAAATTGGGGGTGATAGCTTTTCGGAAATCCACCCAAATAATGTTGTACAATACAATTAATAAAATTTGTAAACATCAGTTGCATTGAGAATTAAATGTATTATATATATGTAGAGGTTTGCATGATTCAATTTGTAGATTTCATTGCGGTTTATATTTATTGGTTATTTACTATTATAACCCTGGTTTTTTACTATTATACATCTATTTGGCGTTTTTACGAAATGGTTATTTTATTATGCGAAATTTAGTTTTAATATTTTTAATTTTAAATTTTAAAATTTTATAAACAGAATTTTTCAGAAATTTTAAATGAAAAATACTGATATAAATAAAAAGTCTTGTTGAATACTGTTTTCCAAACAGTGTTTTACATTTATTATTATCGTTAATAGTTTATTTAGATTAAATATATTAACTGATTTTCCAGTATACTACGTAATATTATAATTACGCGAAATATATAAACTATAACATTTTATCAAAAATAAAGTAAAAATATAAAATAAGATTTTTTACTTGCACAGAAGAGGATTTTGCCAATCCGACAAAAGTGTGACTCGCACATGCCAAAAAGCGTATGAAGATTTAAATTACTTTCATATAAAATAAAATATAAATCTAATATATACCATAATAAAATATTGATATTTACTAATGTTACATTATGTTTATATTTTATTACATGTATCAATTAAATTTCCCAATATCCTTATGGAAATTTTCTTTTGAGATGGAAAAAAAACTATTGATAGTTTTTCAATAGTATTTTTCTCTTGTCAGTAGCATTTTTCTATAAAGGTATAAGGTATGTGCCTAGTTCTCCATATTCCGAAAATATCCCATTAATATCCTGACAATATCCCCTCAAATATTTTAAAAATATCCTGAAAATATCCTGAAAATATCTCCTCGAATATTCTAAGAATATCCTCAATATAAAAAATCGCAGACATTGGAATATCTTCAGTATATTCTCAGAATATGTTAGGATATTATTCAAATATCTTCAGCATATACGAAATATACAGCTAAGATATTCTTAGAATATTGTAAAAATATGTTTGTGCTGTCTGGGATTATGATAATTTGGATTCTTCAGGTATGTTATTTTGTAATATTTATTATTTTATCAATGAATTTTTTGTTTTAATAGTTTTTTCGCGTATAATAAAAATTATGTGTAGGTTAGGCAAGTTTGTCTCTTAGAATTTTTCAAAATCTGTAAGAAATACAGACAGTTAGGCAAAATTTTGTAATAAATATTTAAATTAATTTTCAACGATAATTGCAAATATATTGCAATAGTAAAGAGCTTTAGTTTTTTTGCATGTGTAAGAAAAAGAATTAAAAAACGAATTTACTTCATAGTAGCCTTTAAAAATCTCCTTTCTTCTTTCAATTGGTATTTTATTCAAACATTTTTGATTACATCTTCGCACGAGTTTTCAGAAAGATTCTTTTAGGAACTATTTTACCTGTTGTTGATTGATATTCTTTATCTCGTTGTTTTTTTAATTTTCCTGATAACTTTTTTATATTCATTGCTTTTGAGAACAGCATTAAAAAAAATTAAATCTGCTATGAACAAAATATAGACAATATGTACAATGCGTTGATTGGACAAATTTAACTTAAACTAACTAGGAATAATGGTTGGAATATTATTTTTTACCTTAATTTTAACTTGTTTAAACATTGCCTACTTCACACTTTATAACTTAAAATCTAATTTTTTTAGGGCCAAACTTGCCTATAAGTTTGTTTCTATTTAACTCATTTCTAGATTAAGGATAATTTTTAAATAACATATTTACATGGACTAGATAACCTTCCACAACAGATAGATTAAAAATTATTTCTATCAGATAGGTTGTGATTTTAAAAATTAAGTCTAACTTTAGACATCAATATCTCATTTCGAAGAAATTGTCGCTTAGGCAACTCTGGCACTGAACCACTCATAAGATATATATACAGGGTGTCTGGCAATAATTGCCCCACCGGTCATATACAGGTAGAGGAGGTCAAATCGAGTAGAAAAGTCCTTTACCATTTTTTAATTTTCATAATAAGTACTGAGTAATTAACGAAAAAAGATCGGCGAATCCGCGCGAGTAAAGCGCGCGCGGTGAGAAGGACGTCCCACTGCTACGCGATCACTAGGACACAAGGATCTAGCGTTACGCGCCGCTCGTATGTTGCCATTGTCATTTGTAGAGCGCTCCTCCCAACGCTTCATCGCGCGCCTAGTGATCGTATAGCAGTGGGATGTCCTTCTCGCTGCGCGCGCTTTACTTGCACGGATTCACCAATCTTTTTTCGTTAATTACTTAGTACTTATTACAAAAATCAAAAAATGGTAAAGGACTTTTCTACTCGATTTGACCTCCTCTACCTGTATATGACCGGTGGGGCATTATTGCCAGACACCCTGTATATATTTTAAAAGACAGCGAAAGTTATTACGCAATAAAGCCCTTAAAAAAAATGGGGCTAATTTAAAAATT